GTTTCAGCTCTCACCTCTCCCTCAAGCCCCCTGAATCTTTAATTCAGAGCCAGTGTGGTGTAGTGGTTAAGAGCATGGGACTAGGACTCAGAGGATCTGGGTTCTAGTCCCCGCTCAGCCATGGAGCCAACTGGGTGACTTTGGGCCAGTCACAGACTCTGCCCAACCTGCCTCACAGGGTTGTTGTTGTGGGGATAAGATGGAGGAGGAGAATGACGTAAGCTGCCTTGAGCCCTTTGTTGGAAAAAGGCAGGATATAAATCGAAAAATAAATAAAATAAATAATTCTAAGAATAAAGGAAAGAAGAGAAATGCAGAGTTGTGGAAGCTGCAAGACAACCCCTCCTCATCCTTGCAATTCTTTCCCTGTGCCACCTCTAAGTACCCCCCTTCTGGCCCACTCTGATTTCTGAGGTTTTACCAGCATTATTCACTCACTTTCAAGCATATCTTCACAAGAATAAAGACTAGACAGTTGATCTGATACATCCACTGGAAGCAGGCGTATGTGGGAAACAGTAATCTGCAGCCGGTGCTCCATTCCTTGACTTGTAATGCGCTTCTGTACAATATCGCAGAGTGCAGGCATCACTGCACACGCGAAGAGCTCTGAATCCGGTGAAATGTTCAAAGACGTATTATATTTAGAAATCCAGCAGGAGGCCTGCATGAGTCAGCAACCCAGAACTGCGTGATTTGCTGCCAGTTGGAGGCAGCCAATGAGGAAACTTGCCGTTATAAATCTAAGGGCCCTGTTCTCTCCCGCAGCACCGTGCTTCATACAGCACATACTTCTGCATGTGGAACTTTACTGTGGTAATATTTGGCTCGCGGCATCCCCACTGAAAAGAACGTCTTGGATAAAGGGCCGGAAAGGATCCACACCTCTCCAGGACACCCGGAGCGCCTCTGCTACTCAGAACAGAAATACTAGGTGATGCAGAAGAACAGTTTAATAAGTGCATGACATCTTCAGGCATTCCTTCTCTCTTGGCCTGGCTTATTAAAAGGCAGAGCCGCTTCCTGGCACCAATCTTGCTGGAGTCAGATTTTCCATTGTCCCCAGTTCATTCACTGCGTTTGCTGAGTAGCAGCATGGGTCTGTTGAAGCGATGAAGTCACATCACTTCCCAGCAGTGTCTGACAGTTGTGCACTGTTTGAAATTAAAAGGAAAAGAGAGAGAGAGAGAGAGAGAGAGAGAGAGAAAAGACAAGTCCCTTTTGGTCAAAGCAAATGCGTCGCAACACAGACAGAAAGACACTCAGCTCCATCAAGTTTCCTTCCCAGCAATTTCATTGACTGTTTGTTCACTGCAGATAAACAATGGAGAATAAGGGCCTATTGAACGTGGGTACAATGAATAGTAGTGTAAGTTTTAACAAAGCAGAATCCAGAAATCAACCCTAAATACTCCACAACACACTGAGAAATAAATTTGCAATGACAAGCCCAAGAAATAAAAGTCCTTGTCCTTCTTAGGGAACAATTTTAGCATGTTTAGGCAGAAAAATGTCCCTGTTAGCCGTGGACTGTTAGGAATTGTAGCACATTTTTCTGTCTTACATGAGGCCAAACCATCAGTCCATAATCCAGAAGTGTCTACCTGGTCCCTACTTATTAATGATTGTACGGAAGGGACCGAAGAGCGATAGCCATTCTCCATTTATTAAACCAAAGATGCTGAGCCTTACACTTGCTTGAAATGAGCTGCGGTTTACCCCTCATCCCAGGCAACTGTACTTTCTCAGTGTGCAGGGAAAAGCACTTTGTGCATGCTCAGAACCACTGCCATCATTGTTACCTCACCAGGCCCGAACTCCAGGATCTTAGTAGGATCCCTGAGCGAATCTGCCGCCCTAGAACACAAGGCCCCCCATTTCCCCCCCACAGCCACACTTTCCCACGGGCGTCTCTGTGATGCCTTTCCTTCCCCGCAGCTCGGTTTCCAATTTCTAAAAAAGGAGCCGCAACGTGCTGGGGCGGGGCAGGCGCTCCGCCGAGCGCCAGGTGCCTGCGCGGTGCTTCGCCGGGCTTCCTCGGTGGGGAGGCGCTCTGCACCCGCTCAGGGGCACGCCAAGGCGGAGGCGAAGCGGGCGAGGTGTGGGGCGGGCCCAGGCCCAGGCCGCGAGGCGCCCCCCCCCCACCCCGCCGCGGAGGGGAGCGCGCAGGGCCGGCCAATCCGAGGCGGCCCGCTCACAAAGGGATTCCGCCTGTGCGCGGAACGCTCGGCCGGCCGCGTTCCGCCGAGCGGGGCGAGCAGGAAGGAGGGCGACCCACGGCTGTCCGCGCCCGTCGGCCGAGGATCACGCCCCGGCGTTGCGTTGCTGCCCTTGCTTCGGGGCGCGAGCAGAGCCTGCCGGAGCGCACAGCTGCGCGCCGGGCGCAAGACGCGGCCGGGTTCCCGCTGAGGAGGAGCGCAAGCGCTGCGGTTGGTGCCCGGCGGAAAGGGGGGCGAAGCCTCTGTCCGCGCAGCCCAGCCTCGGCCGCCTCTCGAGTGTTTTCCCTTCCCGATCAGCCCGGCTTTCCTCAAGTGATTTTTCTAGCAGTCCTAACTAACTCCAAGCTAAACTCTTGCGTTTTCTCTCTGTGTCTTTCTTGGTTGCTTTATCGACATCAATAGCCCTGCCTCTTTTCAAAGTAACATAAGGAAGGTCTCTGCCCCAGAGAGCTCACAGGTTCATCAGTCCCCACAGAGATGGGAGAAGAGATACATGGGGTACCACGGGGCAAATGCTAGCTGCTGCGTGATGCATGCTTTACTAGAGAGTAGACCTGTTGAAAGGGGAGGGGTGTGGGCCCTGCATAAAACTCGGGTTCTGCTACCTTTCAGTTCTGGATGAGGACCAGAGAGGGGTGAAGAGAGAGCGCGTCCCAACAGGTCTTCCTTTGATCATGTCAGCCTGTTTGTCCATCTGACCCAGTATGGACTACACTGACGGCAACAGCTCTACTGGATTTCAAACTGGGATCTTTCCCAGCCCTGCCTCAAGATCCCAGGGACTGACATTTCCACATGCAAAGGGGCTTCTCTCCAGCAGAGCTGTGGTCCTTCCCTGTAAGGATTTCTTAAGACTTCCCCTTCCCTTCCATAGAATTATAAAGACTCCTCAGAAGTCATCTAGTCCAGTCCCCACCTCAGGGTGGGTTCTGCTGGTTGCAATCGCACCATCCCTGGCAGGCAGCCCTCCGGCATCTGCTCAACTGCCTCCCAAGGCCACCCATCCCGTGGTCAAGCAGCCTCACTGCTGGGAAACCCCTCCAGTTGCATGGCTGAAATCCGCTTCCCTGCGCCTTCCATCCCTTGATGCTGGGTCTACCCTTTGAAGCAATCCAGAGCAGTGTGATTCTGCCTTCTTCATGGCAACTGTTCAGATATTTGAAAACATGACTTTCCTCCCCTGCACAGGCTTGTCTGAGTTCTCTGTCCGTCTCGTTTCTCCCTCCTCTTCCCTGACACATAAACGTTCATACTGTGAATATATTTTTTACTTTAATTGAGTGAGTAATACATATAGATACCACTTAATGTCATTAGTGATGCTTATATACTGCAGAATAATACATTCTTTAGCACCATCGGTGTACATTCTGTGTCAGCCATGCCCAGCATCCTGCAAATGCGTTGACTACAACTCCTATCACCCAGCCACTGGCTAAGGTAGTCCAATATACAGTATCTGGAGGGTGTGGGTTAGGAAAGGCTGCCCTACAGCATGAACTGAAAAGATGAGCTGCTGCCCCAAGAAGACGGGGGTTGGAGCTGGAATGGTTGACCAAGGATTTGAGGCGGTGTTGGAAGGAAGTGGGACAGGTGGCATTCAACAGATGATCTAGGAGGGAGTTCCGGCTGTAAGGGCAGCAAGGACTAGTGGGTAGGACAGCTTTTAACGTTTCTTAGTACGTCTCTTATCCATTTCTCTTTCCATCTGTCCACTTCCCATTAGTGGTCCAACCGGTTGCAAAATCTGACAAGGCAACATGTGATCTGTACGTGCACCAACATGTCCTGGTGCCCCGATCTGAAAGAGGAATGAGTGCTCCCCTCACCAAATGTATTTTCAAAATATTTCATTTGCTGACAGTTTATAATACACTGCTTAGACCACAGGGGTTTGGACTGAATTGGTCATTTTCAGTTTGGTGTTCTAGAAAGCCACATGCGTATTTCCTTGAAAGGTTACTAGGGATCCTTAGTGAGGACTAGCCATGCCACACAACCTTTTCTGAAAGTCAGTAGCCCGACACCTTCCACTTCCGCTGGGGGTTCCATGGCATATAGGCTAGGTGTCTGCTGTGGCATCGGTACAAGAGTTGCCTTCCTTAAAATGCTTGCTTGACTTTTAGAAAGGTAAGTTCCTAGCCTGTGTTATTGTGATCCACAATGTGCTCTATCTAAAAAGTGCATGCGGATTGCCTGGTCAGCAGCAAGTGAACTACATGACCCATGACGTCCGTGTTTTGGGGCGATGGAGTGGCGGACACACTATTTCTCCCTTTGCCATCCTGCAGCTAAATGTTTGTCAGTGTCCTGGTAGCTCCTTCTTGGCTGGACCTCCTCAAACGCTCCATCCAGCCCCTTTGGCACATGGGTTTCCATAGAAATTCCAAGGAGAGGAGGTGCACAGCACCCTTGCGATTTCTATGGAAACCTAGGTCTTGAATGGGTGGGCTGAAGTTTAGCCATCTGTTCTACCCCCTAATTATAAACCAGAACAGGGGAACATGGTCTGGGATGACATTATGCAAATTTTCTCCTTTGTAATATGCTGGGCAGCCATCTGGGGAGCTTCTGCCCTGCAGCAGAAAGAGATGGGGGTGAGGAGGAACTTTGGTGGGCAGGGGAGGAAAGGCTGGTGGGGGGTCTTGTTTGTGAATGGAGGGAAAGGGTTTGCTGACTCAGACCATTTTCATTTGCTGTTCTTTTCAGGACTTCGTTCCGCTTTGGGAAGGATTAGCCTCATTCACTTAACGGAAGCATCTGCCCGCACAGGAGGACAACATGAAGGCACTGGTAAAAATGGCTCATCATTCATACCTTGGTAACTTTGAGGTTAGACTACTGCAGAGGACTGCCCTTCAAGACAGTTCAAAAATATCAACTTTTAAGGCAGGATATAGATAGATAGATAGATAGATAGATAGATAGATAAAAAATCAACTGTCCAAAATCCTGCAGCCTGGTTACAGACCAATCACAACTTGCCATCATCCTCATGCTCATCAGTATCACTATTCTGTACATTTTTAGTGCCTAGTGGTCAAAGGTTAAACCCTATCCCACAGCATGACAAAGCATAATATAAAACTTTTATCATGCAAACATGTTACACGATTTATTCTGTCACACAGTTATCCTGTTACTCTGTATTGAAATAACATTGGCTAGCAGTTCCTGGGCCCATTTCAAGGCTCTGTTTTTTTCTTAATCCAGAAAAGCTATTTGGGGTCCTGGTTGTCTTAGCAAGTACATTTTTTCATATGCACCTGCCCAACGTTCCAGATCAGCCAGTGAAATTTCAGGTCACCCTGCCTCAGGTTCCAACTTTTAGAAGACTGGAGTAGCTGCAGGGTGTTACAGCTCCAGAATCTCAGAATACTGTTCTGAAGGCTGTCTGCTTATCTCCCAGTTTATCATGTCCCACAAAGAAGCAAAGTGGTGCTGAAGAGTTGAAGCTTAAATTTCTGATGGGAATCCCCTCCCTCCCTCTTTCTTTCCCGTTTTTCTCCTCCCACAACCATGACTTGTAGCGCCGAAGAGGGTCCCACTGCAGGAGTGAGAGTTCTGATTTTACTGAGAAGGAAAAAGAGGTGATGGCGGAAACCGAGTTAAGGAAACTGCAGCAGCAGTTCCGGATCATGGTGGAGAATCGCAAATCCTTTGGGGTCAAGACTCAGCAGCACTTGTTCCATCAGGAGTAAGTGAGGCCTGGTTGTAAAAGGCGCTGTCAACTGAGGGGAGAGCCTTGCCGGATCACATCAGCGCTGCTCCCTGCAATCCCCCAGCCTCCAAGCTGCTGGCATTTTTGATCCTCACTGAAAAGCAGTGCACGAAGAATAGCCACCTGTGCTGGCTTGGCCCTGGCCTCTAATATTCCAGGTAACCTGCTCCAGTACGTGAAGGCTCAGCTCTTGTGCCTTGGAGCCACGACTGACATCTTCCACAAATTGGCTCAATCCCCTTGTAGAGCCACCTCCACATCTCGTGGCAGGGAATGACACCAGCCCATTTCACCAGTGGTGTCGTAGTAAAGTCCGAAGTCCAGGCATTCATCACGATATGCCCCCTTAGGAGAGTCAAAAGATGCAGGCAGCTCTGGCAACCCACACGGAGCGATTTTCATCTGCTAGGAGCAGGTCTTTCAGACTGCTCATGGGTCACACCTGCCTATTCAAGAGCAAGCCATCCCAAAATACTTTGCATTACCACAGGAACAGTATATTGTCGCTGGGAAAATTCCTCTTCCCCCAGCTACTGTAGAAATTGCAGATAAACTCAGAGAGAAGAGCGGGTGCTGAGGGGAGTGGAAGGGAACATCCTGTTTCATACAACAAGCCCGAGTGACCAGGGAGTATTTAGCCCACTGAGACCTGCAATGCAGGCTGGGCAGCATTTTCAATATGCAACCCGTGGTGGGTTGCACTGAGTTGTATAAACTTGGACTTGGAGGATTATGCAAAGGTTGCACAATCCTTGGCTTGTGGTAGAATTCTGTGAGCTGTGTTCAGCCTTCACGTAACCCTGGATGGCTGGGTTCAGACAAATGGCAACAGCCTGATCTGGGTTGCAGGTTCTGCGTGACGCTCAGCATGCATCGTGCACCTACCCAGTTCTTTTCCGCCTGTACATGCCTGCTAATTCTTTTAGAAGGCTGAATAGTGGGCTGTTTGGTAGATCTTTTTGCTGTTTGAAATAAGCAGCACTCTTTACCCTACGATGTTCTTCTGCCACAGAAAACAAATCAAAGCCTTGAAGGAAGAAAATGATGAGATTAATTTACTCCTGAGTCTCACCAAGTCGCCCCGGAATATTTTTATGGATGACCGGAACTGCATGGAGCTTAAGTTTCTTTTGCAGACCAAAGACGAATATGACAATCTCATCCGAGCCACCAAAGCCTTGATTGCTGAACTTGACAACAAGGTAGGCGCTGCGGAGGAGGTGGAAGTCACACCACAAGGGCACTGATTGGCACAATTTTCCCCTGCAACCTGAACGTGGGGGCTGAGGCTTTCGGTTGCCCAATGTGCTCTTGCTGTGAACAGAAACAAAAGCCAATTTTGTATTTGCTTAATTGGACTGCTGGTTGTTTGATCCTTAGGCAAACATGACACCTCTCCCTTGGGGTGAAAAAGCAATTGAAGGGTGGTAATTTACTAGTCACTCCCCAGCTTTGCATGTAGAGGGACCCCGTTTGATCCCCGCTATCTCCAGGTAGGAGAAGGAAAGCGCCCTGCCCAGAACCCAGGAAAGAGGTCAGCCAACTCTGAGCATGTGAGGCTTGGCCTGACTATATGTACCATATATAAAGAGAACCCCCCCCCCCATTTAGATTGCCTCCCTCTCCCCTCTGCTGAATGGTAGGCTCCTATTGTCAAGTCCCCTCTGGATGCCTTTGGCAGCATTTCCCATAATCCAGGGGTGCATAGCTGGGATTGGACTCGGCACTGCCCTGAGGTCACTTCAGGAGTGTGGCCTCAGCCCCTGACATCCCCCCTTCTTCCCTGTTCTCTTTCCCCGTTTTTCCTGATGCCGGAAGGGCCATGAAACGGTGCCCCCTCCTAGCACAGAGAAAGCGGAGGATCAGTTGCTCCCTGGCTGCTGTTCTCGTTCTGAGATGACGGTGGAGCAGCCCTCCCTGTTGTCTCATATTGTGCTCCCGGGGGTGGGGGGTGGGTGGGATGCAGAGCCTGTTCTTGCTCCCTGCAGGAACCGCAAGAGGAGGCTCAGGCTGGACTGGCGAGAGCGGCAGGCCGGGCTCAACAGTCCTGCCTTTGGCCGAGCTGCCTCGGGCTTACAGTGCCGTGGTCCACAACAGATGGAGACCGTCAGGGCGCCTTCCCCTCAGCTGCAGGACGGGATGGTACTCCATCCGCGAAATCTGGTGGAGCCACGCTCTCCCTAGAACTGCCTGTTTGCACATCCCCACCTCTGAGATCTTGAGAGAGTTCTTTCTCCTTCTTTTAGATAATGGAAATGGACAACAAGATTAAAAAGCAGAAGGTGCTCGTGATCGAGCTGCGTCAGGAGTACGATGGGAAGTGGCTGCAGAGGCAGATCCAGCTGCTAGATAACCGACTCAATCACGTAAGCGGGCTGGGTGCCATACACGCACCTCCGCAGCCCCGTGCTTTCCACCTTTGGTGACAGTGAACACCTTTCTTCTCCTGGATGAGGAGGTCAGGCACAGCAAGAGCACACGACGGGGACCAAAGCCTGTGAAGGCAGCAGACAGATCTGCACCGTGAAACCCGTGGCCTCTTCTTCCCGTGTGTGTGCCAGAGCTGAAGAAGGGCGGTGTGGCACACCAAGAGCTGCGAGGTCCACCCACACGGCGATCTCTGCCCTCTTCCGCCTTGCCATCCCCAGCTCTGGCTCTGCCTCCTGTTGGCCGAGTCCCTCGCTCGGGTTTTCCTCTTTGGTCAAAAAACCCTCCATGGGAAAAGGATTTCCCACCCCGTCCTGATTCGCTCTTGGGCTCTCTCTAGGTGACAGTTTATTTCGACACCATCTTGACCACCAATGCCAAGCTCCGAGAAGAGATAGAGAATCTGCAGTGCCAGAAGTCGGTCTTTGATAACATCTACACACGGCTCCACAAGAAGCTGGAGCAGCAGAAGAAGACCATGGACCTGTCCATCGAGCAGTCCACACAAGCCTACGAGCAACGGTGAGAGGCCAGGCAAGGGGTGTGCAGGCTGCCGGCCTGTGTCCGTTCTCCTGGTCACAACGTGCTTGGGCTGACACTCGAGGAGACACAGGGCAGGGCGCTCCCAGAAAGGCCGCCTGTTTGAACAGGGTTTCTCCCCGGAGCTTGCAATGGAATGGACCTGGGATTATTATTATTTTATTATTATTATTATTAGGAGAGGCCTTGAGTGGCAGAATGGTCTGTACCACTTCCAGCTGCAGGCGTGTGTGTGTGTGTGGGGAGGGTGACATTTCTCCCAGCTATGCCTGTTTGCAGTTGTCTTCACAGGAGAGAGGAATGTTCTAAAATGACGCCCCCCAGCAGCAGTTTGAGGTGGAACGATCCCAGGGCTGCCTCTCAGCTGCTGCGTGCCCAGGCGAGGTCTTGCGGACACGCAGCAGGATTCAGTGGGGCCTTTTCCCTGCCAGCCCCTTTGAACAGGAGGGCATCCATGCAGGGGAAGGTTGTGCATCAAGCATAGGAGCATAATGCCTCCCAGTCAAACTGCACACGGAGTGAAAGGAGGTGGCCGAGTCTGCCAGGTGGAGCCTTCATCATGATAGCCGGAAACTGCCTCCAGGACCCAGAAGTGTTTGCCCTTCACACCAGTCGCTCCCAAGAGGGCATGTTTTATTCGTGTCCTGTCTGTGGCTGTTCCGTGAGCAGCTGGCCGCCGCTGTACAAGCAGAATGCTGGAGTGGCTAGGCCCTTGGCCTGATCCAGCCTGCCCCTCCTGTTGTTCTTACCACCTCGTCTTATTCCCCCCCCCCTCCGCAATCATTTTGGTGCCCCTTCTAGGGTTGAAGCGCTTGCTAGAATCTCTGCCATGAAGGAGCGGCGCTGCAAGGACATTGCGCAGTTCAACATCGAGTTCCGGGAGCTGGAACGGATCTACAACCATGAGACCAAGCTCAAAGCCTTCATGTTGATCAAGCTGGTGGACCGCTCAGAATTCGAGGAGGAGGCCAAAAGGGAGGAAGGTATTGTGATGTAAGGTATTTGCCCCAGTGGGGATCATGGGGGTTGAAGTCCAGCGTAACTGGAGGACCCCGTTTTGGGAAAAGCTCCTTTATATCGCCCTCCTGCTATTTTGGACGATGGCTCCTAGTTTCCTTAACACTGGCCCGGTTTACTGGGGTCGATGTGCCAAACCAGGCTGGGGAAGGCAACATTACGTCAACATCACCACCGTCATTTGGGGAAAAATGCAGTTCCTTTGCTGGTTCATTACCTTTTTTTGGAAATGATCCTTGGCTAGGTCCACATCCTGTGGTCGAGCTCATTGCTTCCCTCCCGTTAAATCTCCCACAGCCGTCAAAGCGAGGAAGCGTGCCAAGACCAAAGGGGAAAGCTTTGAAAGCTACGAGGTGGCATACATGCGTCTGCTGAAGCTGACCGAGAATGGCGACATCGATCAGCTGGTGGAAGACTTTATTGAGAAGGAAGAGAAGAACTTTGCCCACTTCAGCTACGTCACCGAGCTGAACAATGACATGGAGAGGCTGCAGAAAAGGATCGAAGACATTCAGGTCCCTTCCTTCTGCGTTCCTTCCCTTCCACAGGCACTAGGCTGCATCACAGCCGGCACCCTCTGCAGAATGCACCCTTGTGCAAGCCGGTTGTGTGTGGAACCAAGTGCCAACAACAGCCGCCCGTCCTGTTGCTGCCACCGTGCAGCTGACAGAGAGATTGCAGCTTGGCTAATCTGGGAACTGCCAGTTCCCCTGCTGTTTGTTTTGGGAGGCATGGGGTGAATATAAAGCACCTCGCACGCAAACCAGATGCAAACTGGATGTAACACGAAAGGGGTCGTGTGGGGCTTCAGAAGGATCTCCCCAAGCTGGGAGAATGGGTGTCAAACTGCCCAGTGCAGTTTGGTGGGAGCAAATGTGAAGTCATTAGAGAATCATAGAATAGTGGAGTTGGAAGGGGCCATGAGGCCCAGCCCCCTGCTCAGTGCAGGACTCCAAGCTAAGCAAAGAATCCCATTTTCACGCTTACGTTGATGGGCTCTGAGCAAGCCCATCAAAAAACTGCAGTCCAGCACTCTTCCAAAACAGGAACCAGGATGAGGGCACCCATCAGAGGAGGCCCCTGAGAACATGGCCAAGCTCCGGATATCCTGCCACCACCCTCAGGCAGACGCATTCCTGCATGTGCTTTGCAAAATCCTAGCATTATGAACCATGGAGGTGGCTTTTGGGGAGGAAAAACGGAAGCCACTGCCTGGGAGCTGCTTGGAGGGACCTCCGATGGCACCAGCAAGTTTCACCCCCAACCAGTTGTGGCCATCTGGAAATGAGGTGGTGGTGATGTCTGAGCTGGATGATGTCTGAGCTGACCAACCAAATGGATGTCAGCCAGACTGGGTATAAATCTACACTGATTTATATCAGAATAACAGAATACTTCACCAGAAAAAACATTCTGAGCTTGTGCTCAGAACTGCCTGCCTTGACCTGGTGCCCTCCAGGCACGTCAGGTGGCAGCGCTCATGGTCGGGCACCGCGTTTTGCGGTGATGAGGGTGTAGTCCACCATCTCTGGAGGCTGGGGAAGCTTTTCCAGACAACACCAGGCCGTACAAGCCCCACTCTTCTCTTCCAAGACGGTGCTTGCCACCCGCAGTTTCCCTTGTATTAAAAGTAATTAATATTAAAAAGGCCTCTCTGTCAAGGGACTCTGGGGTGACATTAGCCAAACCGATTAACCGGACAAGTGGCAGCCGTGCCGTTTAGGCAGCTGAGAGCGCCACTGACCTTTTGTGCCACCGCAGCGTGCTGAGCGGGTGCGCTGCGCGAGGTTGCCGGCGGCCTGGAGGCCAGAGCTGAGGCTGGTGGAGGAGCAGGACCCTCCCTCACGCCCGGCCCGGCCGTTCAGCCCTGTGTGCTCCTTGTGCCTCTGCAGAACGAGATCAGCCAGCTGCAGCTGCAGCAGCGGGAGGCGGAGGACGTCGTCCACGACCGGCTGAGGGAACTGGAGGTACGTGGCGTGTGCACTTCAAGTGGGGCCGTGTGCCTCGCAACTATTTCTATGGTCGTACTTATAATGTATTTTAATTTTGCTGTGTTTGATGGTCTTGTTTCTTAATGTTATTCATTTTAATCTGTTTGTCATCCGCCGGCCAGAGCAAACCTTTCTGGGCTTAGCTGGACAAGGGTTTGAACCAGTACGAGAAAGCGATACGTGATCGGGATCTAGTCCAGGGGAGTGCCTTGTGCCCCTTCAGATCTTTTGGCTTACAGTTCCCATCGTGGGAACCCCAGTGGCCATGTGAGCTAGTGTGGCACAGGGGTTAGCATGTTGGACTGAGACTGAGGAGAGCTGGATGCCAGCCCTCCCTCAGCCCTGAAGCTCCCTGAGCACCTTGGGGCCGGTCACTGGCTCTCGGCCTAGGCCACCTCCCAGGGTGGCTGTGAGGATAACATGGAGCGGTGAAGGCTCTTGCATGCCACCTTGGGCTCCTTGGAAGAAAAGGTGGGACAGAAGTCCCAGGTGAGACTTGAAGGCCTTCCCTGTCCGGTGCTTCTCTCCAGATGTTTTAGTCTATGGCTCCCAGCATTCCCGTCCTTTGCTTGTGTTAGTTGCAGTTGGTGGAGGTTGAAGCCCCAAATTTCCAGAGGGCACCAGGATCAGGACATCGAGTCTGTGCACTCCACGCAAGTGCTGAGGCCCTCTGCTTGGCTCACAGGAGAAACTGCAGAAAACCACCGAAGACGCCAACCAGTATGAATACAAGTTGAAAGAGAGCAGCAAGATCCTGGATCAGCTGAAATCGGCGGTGGACTTCCTGTTCAAGCAGACAGGCTGCGATGCATCCAAGATCAGGGAACACCTGGGCGAGACGGGCGAGATCACCGATCAGAACCTGATGCAGTATTTCAGTGAGTCAGCCGATCATGCATGGGGCCAGAGGTCTTTGTCCGCAGTGGCATTGTGGAATCAGGACCGGGCCCTTTGGTGGGGTTCATTCGCAGGGCCACCATAAGTGGGCAACAACCTAATGGCACGCGACAACCACAACCCCATCCTGGGGGCAAAGTTCAGACGGCGCTGCTCCTCTAAGGGAAACAAAAGCCCATATTGCTCCTCCAGGCCTCCTTCGGCCCCTGTGGGCTGCAGGGAAGGACAAATCGATCGTATCCCTGCTGCGCTCTGTCACCCGGTGGAGCCCTCCCGGGCTTCCGTTCCGCTCTCCCAGTTGGGTGCCACTGCTCCGGCATCAGTCCAGGGTGTGGTGGAGGGGAGAGCCGCCTGTTCCAAATCTGCCCTCCCGCTTCCGCCAGGCATCGTGGAGAAGAAGAGCAATGACCTGCTGCTGATCGAGTCCTTCCTGCGCTACAAGGAGGTGGAAGGGGAGCTGGACACCGTCCCCATGCTGAATCCGTTTCTGGGTGGCTCTGCCGCGCTGAAAAAGCTGGACACCATGAAAATCGCCCCTCCCTCCCTCAGCGCGGACCCCTTCGCAGACACTTTGGAGCCTCGTGAGTGGCTGCGGGGGCCAAAGCAAAGGCAGGAGGGAGGGAGGGTGGCAGTCAAGGGCGCTCCGGCACTAGCAGGAACCGATTTCTTCGCTGCTCGAGTCTGAACTAGACGTTTTCTAGAGGGAAAGCCACCTGGGGAAAGGAGCCATGCTTGGCCGGTGTGGGGCCAGCGGCCTCCCTGCCAAGAGGTACACAAGCTGTGTCGCAAGAACACAACAGGAGCTGTGCCGGGTCGGATCGAGTCCAGCGTTCTCATCTCCCTGTGGCCAGCCGGACACCCCAAATGGCCGCCACAAGCAGCACATGAGTGCAATAGTGGTCTTTTTGTTAAGTCCTCTCACAGCTGGGGTACGTGGAGGCTGGAGCGAGCCAGTCGTCATCAGGACGAGTAGCCTTTGATAGCCGCCTCCTCCCCCACGAACTTGTCCTCCGTAAAGCCATCCATATGGGTGGCCAGCACTACATCTTGCGAAAGGGGATTTCTTAGTTTAACCATGTACTCTCTGAGGCAGCGCGTCAGAGAATCCTAGAATAGTAGAGTTGGAAGGAGCCATGAAGGCCATGCGTTCCAAGCCCCTGCTCCGTGCAGGACACCGATTTGCACCACCCCATTCGGAGGGCTGTCCACTTTGATCCGTCCTGAATCCCTTCGTGGGATGGCCCTTTTGGGTTCTAATACTTTGAGGGAGGGGGGAAATCCCTGCCTACTTTTTACACACTATGCATAGTATCATACACCTCTGCCCCACCTCCCTTACACCCCTTTGTCACAGGCTGGTTGCTAGTCCTAGTCGCCAGATTTGACATTGGTGGAGTTCCAAGGCTTGATTCAGTCAACTCAGCTGGGAGAGAGTAGACCATAAATGCCATATGCAAATTAAGGAGATCTGACCCGTGGAAAGCAGCAAGTTCCTTTTTTTTTTCCAAACCAAGCCTCACTGCATCTCTCTCTCTCTCCCTCTCTCTTCCCCCCAACAGAGGAGGGCCCACTCGACCACAAAAGCCTGCGTGCCATGATTGTGGAGAGCCAGGAGAGAGAAAAATCCAGAAGGAGCTCGGCAGAGAGGCTGGAGAGCAGCAAGGACAGGAAGAGACTCTCTTTGGCATAGAAGCTGATGGGAAAAGGCTCCAGGTGGGAGTCGCTGACTTTTCAAATGCACTTTGTTCGCACAATTTTAAACAGACATGTATATGAGAGAGATATATATATACACACACACACATGCACACATTTTGTACAGAATGGGACAGAGTACCCAAATAGCCTTGGCTTGCATAACGTAAAAACCCATAATAAAGGATCTGGTTTCTTGCATTCCTGCAGTCCCTTGAGCACTGGAGCGTCCCTGGCCGTTTTTCAGCACCATGCCAGTTTCTCCGTCAGTGGAGGTTGCCGCATCTGTTTAGCTGTTTGCGGGGATTTTTTTTCTTTGATGCATTTTTAATGCATCCCAGAACACACGTCCTTCCCTGGCAAAGATGCTGCGGAATATTTGAATTTTGAAAGGTGTCATTTTGTGCCCTCAAGCAATGCGTAACTGTGGAGGTCCACCTTGACCTAGAAGTGCCTGAAATAGATATTGATTTTTATTTTATGTTATTTTTATGGTCTGGCTCTGGCACAGGCAGGAAATTTCCTGAGGTTGGTAGGCCCCATTAGCCCACGGAGATGAAAGGGCCAGCCTGGTATTTCCTCCTCCTCCACAAGGCTGCGAGCAAAACCGGGAGGATCCTAAAGCAAAGACGTTTGCAGATAGTCTGGAGGGGGACATGCCCCTTGCAGGCAGATGGTCCTAGCAGGCTTGACTTAAGGGGGAAAGATGGCAGAATTCTCAGTGATGAAATCCACAAACACTGCCTCTGCCTGACCTCCATCAATCTTAACCCCCCCCACCCCAATGGTGCTCCATCCCCAGCCATTCCTCATCTTCTTGATCTTGCTTGTTTGCTAGAAAGATAGAAGTCGGCCTACAAACGGGGGGTCCGAAAGCCAGTCATGCCAGAGCTTCCCCTAGAAGCAAAAAAGACCAGACTGAGGCTGCCATACTTCACGAGGAGGCACAAGGCCCTGGAGAAGGCAGTCATGCTAGGGAAAGTCAAAGGCAGAAGAGGAAAAGAAAGACAGAACATGGGATGTATTGACTCCATAAGGGAAGCCCCAGCCTTGAACTGAAAAGAGCTGGGGGCGGCTGTCAGGACGCTACGGGGGGCTTTCATTCAGTCAGGGACAACTTGGCGGCACATATCAAAAACCTGCATTCACACAAGCCTAATCCAGGGGTGCAGAACCTGAAATTCACAGGCCACATCTTCTCTACTGGGGTTCCATGAAAGGCTGATCCTTGGGTATTTCCTGGCTTTTGTGTGGGTTTTGCCTGCATCATAAAAGTTGAAACGCCTCCCCTAATTCTTAACTCCAGGCAGTAAGAAATTTAAGATACGCTGTGTTTTTGCCCTGTCCCTTTGGCTGTTCTCCCCCACAGCTCCTCCGAAATAGAATATGGCCCTTTGGCTGAAGGGGGCCCTGTGACCCTGCCATAGGGAAAGAGAGCAGGGCCAGAAACCAGGCTAATTCCCCCCCCCCCCCGCACGAAGCACATGATGACCCAGGAAGGGGGACGAACTTGTTTTGTGTCTGTAACCTTGCAAACGGTATCAAAAGAGCAGAGGTCCAGGGCTGAGCCACAGCCTCCCACTCCGCCGCGATCTGTGCCAGGCTTCCAGGCTCAGCCTTTCGCAGCAGTGCTCAGTAATGGATTATCGGGGAGCAAGGCAGGGCCAGGCTAACCACAGGTCCTCGCTGTTTCTTGGACCCCCCCGTCTCAGCTCAGCCATGACCTCGGGTCAGTTTCCCTCTCTTAGGCTTCTCTTCCTTAAAGCGCAAGGACAGAGTGGAAAGTGAATCCACGTATGCCTGTTATTTTGGTTCCTCTGGTAGAACATACCCGGAAACATTCCGGAGACTTTGAACCTGAAGATACCAACTGCTTCCATTTCCCACCCGCTTTTACAACACGATGGAGGCCCTTCTGCAGGGCGTCTCGGGGCCGGTGTCTCGTTTCTCCTTTAGCCCCGCACTCCTGACTGGACTGCGGGGAGAGCGCCACGAGGGGGCAGCACGCTCCGCCAATTCGCTCCGCGCATCGCTCGCACCGGCTTGGAAGGACGCCATCTGCTGATCTGCCTTTCTTGGAGCACGTCCCGAGCAACCGGCAGCCAAGCTGTATGCAGCACCATTAGCCATTTTAAGCCAGTTGTGATCGCTTCAGGACTTCAAGGGCAGCGTTCGCGGCGATGTCAAGCTGGGCTCCAGACTAGGATTTCGGCGCTGCCAGGCCTCCCTTTCCTGAGCCCCCCTCGGGGGAAGACGCCAGAAGAAGAACAGTGGCTTAGATCAGAACTCTGTTGCTTCTGTAGGAAGCGGGAGAAATTGGGCACTGAAACCAGGACTGTCTTAACAGCATTATGGGCCCCGGGCAAAGCAGTGTACTGGGGCCCCCACGACAACTACAACTACTGTTAATTTTGGAAGTTTTCCCATTTTCCAAGGGTTAACATATACAGATTAGGATGAGGCCCACGGGCAAGTGCCCATCAGGCCCGTGCGTTCAGACGGCCCTGCCTGAAACACTCCTCTCTTGCGGCTTAGTCATTGTGAATACAGCCCTGAATTTTGCGGAGCTCCCTGTTCTTGTAGCTGCAGAGCTCCTGACCGTGTTGGACAGCTCCCCAGCATCGCAGGTTGGAAAAGAATCCAAGCCACACAGAAGTGGTGGTAGGATTTGGATATGGGGCAGTCCACTCTGAGGTCAGTTCCCTCCCCTCCCGTCCCCTCCCGTCCCCTCCCCTCTCCCTACACAAACACTTTGCGTAGTCAATAATCTTTCAGAAAGGGACTCTTGGAATTTCAGAATAATTCAATACATCCACAATTTTAGAAATATGCTTCTCTTCAGATGTTTTTTTTTTTCTACAAAGAGGATAGACGAGGGGTCAGGACACCAGGAGAATGACAACACACACACACCCCCATTAGCATGGACAGGAATGACCAGAAATGGCTGCCTAGAAAGGTGCCCTTCCGTTGTCATTCCTGTTGCCATGCAAATCCTATTCCCAGCAGTTAATCTTTTTCTTCTCCATGTGTGATGATGTGGACGAGGTTCTTATAGTCCAGGTTGCCAGTCACATCTGGGGGGAAAGCTGCGAACATTTGGTCTACCTGTAAGAAGAAAGAGGCAGGGGGAAATTACCTGAGTTTTACGACCTTGCAATATTTACTGCTGCTGCTGGAGACATAATTTCCCTGCAGGGCAGCTGTGTTAGTCCATTGCAGCAAAAACAGCACAGATACTTGTGGCAGTTTTATGACGACAAAGGCATTCATAGGCTACAACCCTCTTTCTGAGAGGCGTGAAGACTTCTGTGTAACTTACAGGTAGAGAAACAAATTTGGGTGGGTGGGAATATAAATGAGATGCTGCTCCGTACAACCGATGCATGCAAAACACAACCTATGTGTGCCCGCTCAGAAGTAAGTTCCACTGAGTTATTGGAAACTACTCCTAAGTAAATGTTCACAGGGCTACACTCTAAAGACAATGGGACTCACTCTCAGGTAAGCGGATAAAAATCACAGACAATTAACTCAAGCTTTAGTTGATTGATTCATGGACAGTATTAATTGGTGAGCCTGAAAACTAAGAGGAGATGATGATGATCTTGGCCTTGGGTTGTAATAGAGAATAAGGGAGAAAATCTAAAAATGTTTTCCCTCCTCTTTACAAATGAAGGGGTTTGTTTATTTAATTGCAAAAATTCTTTTCCATTTTCTTCAATAGCTTAAAAGATAAGCAAATTTATTTCCATGTAATTGATCCGCTAAATCCATGTTTAAGTGCTTGAAAATCCTAGTCATTACTGGATTTTTAATTGCCTTTTCAAGTTAATGGTCTAGGATTTTAATAATAATGGCAATCTATCCATATAAAAACAAACAACATGGATCTTTTGGGGTTTGGAAGTGGGGCAGGACTTTGGGCTGTCTGGAGCTGTGTCTGTTATGGGTTTTGATGGGATTCGAGTGTCCGACAGCAACAGGTTCCCCTAGAATGGTAGTTTAGTGATGAGAAAGCACACCCGCTGAATTTCTGCCTCATGCAGCTGCAAAAGTCATCGGTCCAGTTGCCGCATAAAGGTGGCAAAACTAGACTAGATAATGATACCAGTTTTAGAGCGGTATTATTTGGGGAATCTCTCAAAAAGCGGCATACACTTAATTGATAATTTAAGAAACGTATATTCTGCCTCCACCTCCCAAGTGTACTCAGAGCAGCTGAATAACTCATCAAAACAAGCTCAGTAATGCATACAGAGGGAAAGGACTGGTCTAAGACAACCAAAAACGGTGGGGATACTTTTCTCCCACCAGCAGGCCTCAACTGGCCCATCGGGGTTGTGCCATGGGCTAGATCCTTCCCTGGAGGAAGTCCCGCTGCTACTTCTGACTGGAGAGCAGGGATGCTGGCAAAGGGAGCCCAAGTGGTGCTGAGAACCACGGCTGCTGCTCCAAGGTGCCTCCCAGCCCTTTTCCGAGAGGCACGGTGCTCCTTCCACCCACCTGCATGGAGAAGGCACAGGCAGCTGGTGGCATCAGGGGATCTGTGGGTCGAATGCTGTCGGCTGTCTGGCCAACCCACTCACACCCTCTGACCCTCCCACCCCACCCCACCATGCATATCTGTTTCTGTAGACATTAGCACAAAAAGCATGCTGGGAAACTTAGTGCCAGGGCATGGTTGTTCTCAACTGGAAGTGCATTCTGCAGGCGAGGGACCACTGCCGAAAAGGCCCTGCTTCTGGTAGCCGCTCCCCACCTTGCTATCAATGGCTGCCTGGAGCAGGCCTCGGACAGGGATGAAAGCATGCAAGGGAAGCACGGGGTGTCCAGAGAATTCTGGGTGATGTGATCTAATGAGGATGCTGTGAAGTATCTCCTGAAGATTCCTAGATTCCCCTCACAAAACTACAATTCCCAGAGTTCCTTGGGGAGGAAGGAATGGCTCCTTGGCTCATCTACTTCTGCAGTGTTCATGCAACTCTTTGGGATTTCAGTCTTGGATGGAGATGGTGGGGAGTGGGCCAGGGCCTTTTTGCATGCAGAAGTGTGCTGAGCCATGAGCCTTCCTCTGGGCCAGTGCAATGCCAGCCAGTTCTCTTACCTCATCTTTCGAAAATCTCTCTCCTTGTGTCATGAGCATCTCTTTAATGCTGGAAAAGAAAGCACATGACAGATGGGGTGAAGAAAAATGGATGAACAGAATTTGTCCTGACGCTTTCCAGCCCTCAACACTAAAAGCCAAGAGAGTCGCAGAAGTTATAATTAAATAATTACAGTGCTTAAGGGTGTGGAAACAATGATGCCTCCATTTCATGATCAATGGGCAAGTAGGGAATGGAGAAACAATCTTCCTCATGAGAGAGGCGGCACAGAGTGTAGTGTAGTATAATGATTAAAGTGCTGGACTGGGGCACAGGAGACCCAGGTTTTAATCATACACTCTGAGCCTAGCCTACCTTACAGGGTTGTTGTGAAGATAAAATGGGGAGGAAGAGGGGATTATGGGAGCTACCATGGGGTTCTTGCAGGAAAAAAGGCGATATAAACTATAATGAATAAAAGAAAAATAACAGCCAATATTTATGTGAAAAATGGCTTATATTTAAGGCCGGTGTGTGAATGGAGCCCCATGGTGTGTTGGCAAATCGGCAGTTACCCTCCGGCTAGGAGCTGAAAATGAAGCCGGGTCCTCTCTATTTATACGGAAGCGGAGGATTGAAATGGGCGCCCTCCGATTGGGGAATAACCGAACGTTCTGGAGATGCCCATTGGCCAGACACTTGCCCAGAGAGGGGGTGATGGAATGTTGGCCACCCCAAAGCCGATTGGCTGGAGGGTTCCGAGCAGAGCGTATATAAGGACTTGCCAAGAGCCTGGCAGAGCAGTCTGGCCAGAGAGCTGCCTGAGGAGACAGCAGGTAAGCAGCAGCCACAGGGGTGGGAGATGGAGCTGAGGGGACGCGAGGCAGAGGCTGGAGAAGGACTGCAGGTGCGAAGGCTCCTGGAGCGGCCTTTGGAGGAAAGAACTGTGTGAAGGCTGCTGGTGGCCATTGGAAGACTGAGCAGCTGCTGCTGGACCTGACTGAAGACTTCTGAGAGGCTGGGGAGCAGCACCCAAGGCTCCAGGTGGAAGGTGAATCTGACCAGAAAGAAGACCGCCCTTCAAGAGCTTATGGTAGGCCTGCCAGTTAAGTGGGATGAGACTTGATAAGTGAATTAGCTTAAAGCTGGTTAGGAGTAGGAAGTGGAACTCCTGGCTTCTGACTGGTGGCAAACGTAACTGTGAGAACCTGTTTTCACAGTACTAACAATATCCTTAAAATAATAAGCACTTTTGTTTGCTATGCTATATGCTTATTTTACTTGGTTTACTTAGCATCGCTAAGCCATCACACTGGTTGCTGAAGTAGTTGCATATTCCTCCCTTGTTGACTGTTGCCTCCAGCTGTCCTGAAGCTGTTGTTTGTAAGCACTATGGAGCAGAGACCTATCCTCTCAGATTTTGTACACTGCTATATACATGGATGGTGTGTCCTAAAAGTCAGCGATGCCATTGCTTGTTTGAAAATGTCCTATGAACTTATGATAGATGGTCAGACTGATGGATTGATATTGTGTATGTACAAACCTCTTGGAGGTAGGAGAATGGGAAAGGGAGAAAAGCTGGCAGGGTGGAGAGGTGCTCCACTAGTTTTATTTCAGCAGAGATGTATGGAGTCTCCCAAGACACTTACTAGCTTGCCTTTAGACCTTTGCCCTCAGGATCAAACACTTTGAACGCATTCAGAATAGTCTCTTCCGGATCAGCACCTGAAAATCACAAAGAACACCCAGAAAGTCAAAGACTTCGTCTCTTCCCATAGTTTGGGGTACGATGCAAAACGGCAAAGGCTAAAAAACCCCCCTGGATAGCTGGTTGTGCACAGAGAAAGCAGTTCATTCCTTCTTTCATGGCCCTACAAGGCTCCTGTGAGTGCTTGCAGAACCAGGAACGCCCCTGCAGGTGTGGGCAGGGAGTGGCAGTGATGCAGCTGGAAGCCCTGGAGAGCTGTGTAAACGGCTTCACTGCACTACTAGTAGCCTCTTGCCACAGGAATGCCAGCTGTTTGGGAGCCTCCTTGTGCTTCAGCTGCCAGTGTCGCTTGGCTTCCAGCTCTTGCTCTGTGCCCTTGTGCCTGCTCACCTGTCTCCTGCTCAACGCCAGTTTGTTCCTGCTTCCGTCCTTCTTTTCAGCCTGACCTCGCCTTACCAGGTACCTACACCCATCTTCCCTGATCTCACCTTGCTCCTGACCATGCCTGTCCTTCCGGTACCTGACCTTTGGCCTGCTCTTGGCCTGAACGTGTTGTCTGGCTGGATCCTGACCCCAGACTGTTCAAAGATGGGTCTCTTGCTTCTGGCACTCTAAACCTGGGGCAAGCCTCCACCCAGTATTGGAACCTTGGTCCTGGTGTCTTGACCACAGCTGCCTACAACCCACCCCTCTGCCCTTACAGGGCTGTTAAAGGCCTACCAAAATAAGGCAGGCATTTGATAGGCAGAATGCTACACATGTTTACACAGAAAAAGTACTACAACTCCCAGCATCCCCCAGTCAGCATGACAGGCTGGCGCTTGTTGGAGTTGTAGAATTACTTTTCTTTCTAAATGTTTATGGGATTGCCCCTTAAGAATACAAGCCAATGCAGTAAGAACCCAGAAGGAAAGGACCCATAAATAAAAGCAAAGGGAACAGTCCTGTAGTCCCCACAGAGCCTTTAAGGGCCAACATGATAGCTAAGATCCTCAGATTCTGCTTTCAGGGCTGTGAAGCAGAGGTCCAGTTCTCTGTTGCAGCTTGTTCTTGCATCAGCAAGTTGCACATTGACAGTAACCTAGGATAAAGAATCGTGCTATTCTGTTATATACCAACATAGCCAGTATTGCGATAACTGCATATGGGATTTTATTGGTGGATTTTTTTTTTCTTTTGTATTGCTCTTATCTGATTTTAATATGGTTTTATTATGCAATCGCCACTCTGTGGATTGGTCGTTTTCTACTGTGGAAGTCCTCGTTAACCACTTTGGGCATTTTATAATCAGGATATAAACTTGAATGCATAAGACATTATGAATTGGATTCAGATTTTTCATGCCTAAAATAGATCTAGTAAATTCAATAGAACTTAACATTAGTCATGTTTACCTCCCATTGATTTTGCTGGGCCTACTCCAGGAATGATTATATCTAGTTCCAACCCAGTGGAAATGTTTGAGGCAGTCGCTCCTTTTCAGAGCTGTCCCAGAGCAATATCTGTACTCTCCTTCTAGAAAAAGCTTGTCATCTGGGAACATGCAAAGTTGCACTCACCTCCACCTGATTCTCACCTTTCAGTTTCTCTCCAAACATGGTCAAGAACACAGTGAAATTAATTGGTCCAGGAGCCTCTTTGATCATGTCATCCAGTTCTTCATTCTTTACATTCAGGCGTCCTGGAATAGGAGGAAAAGCAGAAATCTGTCAAGGATCTGTGGAAAGGTTGCAAGGTCTAGACAATTGTCTGAAGTCCTCCTGCCACTGCCAGACCAATGCCAACCCATCGGCTAACTTCGGGAGGCTGGAGAAATGCTCTCTTTTTGTTGCCTGGAATTGTAAAAATGTGGAGATGGCTGGGCATCTCCTTTCGTACTCCACAGGCAATGCTTTAGTCTCAGTGGATCGCAAGTTGGCCTGACCAAAATTCTGCCTAGCAATTGAACTTTCTAATGGTGACATGCCTGGATCCTGGCATTACGAATGTTTGAGATCTCTGCCTTTCTTGGGCTTATGTCCAGAATTTTAATTCTGACCATAAAATATTTTTGGGGTGAGATGTGAACTAGAGTGGCTATTTTTGCAATGGCAAGAAAGAGGGCAAAGGGGGAAACATTTTTGTATGAAATGTGCACGTGATAATTCATACGTAGAGATGAAAACACAGAAAACTTTTGCGCATTCAGTTTTTGCTTTACCTAATGCAGCAAATGTATCTCGCAAGTCTGCTTTGTCAATGAAGCCATCGCGGTTCTGATCCATAATAGTGAAGGCCTAAAACGAGGGGGAAACAGATAGGGTGGAGTCCTGTTTGCTGTGACTTCCTGCGAGACACAGAATCCTTCTTTAAAAGTACCTCATTTCCATTCCGCATGCATGGGAAACCTTGTGAAATGTCAGACGATTCGCGCCCAGGCCTGACTGATCTGGCGAGCACTGCAGAGAAACGCTGGGAGGCCATCGTGTCACACCACACAGCAGAGTGGGGGGGGGGAGGGCGGGCTGGAAAGTGACCCAGAAGGCCTCTGCATGGCTGCTCTCTCCGTCCCTGCAGCTTCCTGCGCTCTGGATTCTGCATCTCTGTGTCTCGCTCCCTGTTCCTGCCCTCTTCCAGCCCACTCCTGTCTCCCCACTTCGCCCCCTGATATATGATCCTGGACTGGTTCTGGACTATGCGCGCTCTCTCGCTCTTTTGGGCTATACCAGGCGGCCTGCTGCCTTGTTTCTGATCTCAGGCTGCTGACCACACTGCCAGCGTGTGGTCCCACCTCACGCCAGTGCCCTGCCCCCAGCAGCCACCCCCATCCCGCTCCTCATAGTTAGTTTATCTGGGGATTGGGGCTTTGCAGTCTTGGCTCCAGAGCTGTGGAATACGCGCTTTCCAGAGATCTCCTAAAGCTGTTGCCACAGAGCTGGAAGGGACCCCAGGGTGCATCTCTGCTAATGCAGACAATCCACAGGGAAACTTCCCTGTGGTCACCCAGCCTCTGCTTTTAAAAAAAGTCTAATTAAAGATATCCACGTTCTTCCTTTGGACACATGCACAGACACTGTTCTTCTGCTTGGGCTTTGCAGTCTTTTGCTGTTCATCCTTTTGAACTATTTTGTAATTGAAGGCTTGTAGTCAAAGGTTCCCAAGTCAGCAAAAGACCACTTCTGCTTACACGGAGGGTTGGGGGGGGGGTCTTTTGGGTTTTCACTGATTCCGCTTTCCTGCTTCACTGCCCCCTATGCCACATCCCAAACTTTTTTCCAGAGAGCCCACAACCCCTAGGAAATAGATTTTAAGTGGGCTGCAGCTGGAAGCTGGAATAAGAAAAAGCCCAACCGAGTGGATAAGGCTAATGCTCTGTAGGGAAAGAACACCTACTGGCCAGGATTGTGGTGACCTTTGGATGCCCTTCCGGGATTCCCAGGTTTCTCTGTAAGCTGGCAAATCTGTGGTCGGGGGCGGGGGGGCATGCAGAAATAATGAACAATGAGGAATATGCTGAGGAAAAAATCAATTTGCTTGATTTTTCCCCTCTTCGTTTGCACCATTTATGCAGGTTGGAAGGAGCCCAGGTATATGTCAATGCGGAGCATCCATGCATGGTGGCAGAACTGGTCTCTGGGTTGCATGCTAAAATTGGTAGCGCTCTCACATTCCAACATTTAAGTTTTGGCTTTGTGAACAGGTTCCAGGGCTAAGACCCGGCTTCCAATGAAGCCCCAGTAAAGTCTCTTTTTAATTGGTTTCTAGAACCTTTAATTTCTGAGAATGTCATGTCACCCACAGCTTGGCATCCATGTACAGGCTTAAAAAAAGAATTGGCCCAGACTGATTGTATGTAGTTTTTTGTTACCAGGGGCAGGGGAGGGGGGTGCTGAAAGGACAGCATCTTGCCCAAGGTTATATAGGGAGTTTATGATATAGGTGAGATATGTTAACGTGGGGTGCCCAACCCACCCCCTTTTCCTATTCCAAGCCACTGCACTCCAGTGCTTTCTGGAAGAATTCGCAAAGACTGTAGGGACTGTTCTTTGCCCCTGGCTCTGCCCCCTTTCAGGTCCTGTTGACGTACCTCTTTGAACTCCTGGATCTGTGCCTGTTCGAACATGGAGAAGACGTTAGAGTTGGCCCCCTCTGCTCTCTTCTTAGCTTTCTTGGGTGCCTTTGGGGGATTCAAAGATGACATTTTTATTTCCGTGATGGCTTCTTAACACACACAGCAAGCATCTACTGAGTGGAGTTATTCATCCACCCAACCCACTTCTGTCTATAAGACTCTCCCAAAGGTTTGAGCAAAGAGTCTTTAACCTCCCCCAGTCTTTAGAGCTGCTGAAGTGAAGATGCTGGGATTGAACCCGAGAATGCAAAGCTTCCCACTTCCCTTTTCGTTCAGCCCTGCCAGTTTGCCGTCTGGGCAGTGAGTGGTTTGTGACCAGCAATGTCCAACATGGAAGCTTATATGGACAAAGCTCTCTTTGATTATCCTTGGTGGTTATTTATTGAGTATCATCAGTGGGTATGCTGCTGAAAAGTACAGGAGGGTAGGTCCCTGCCCCAAGGGGCTTCCAACATACAATGCTGCACAGGTGAAACATAAGAGGGCAAGAGAGAAAGGGCTGTATGCAGATGTTCTGGAAATCAACTTGGGACATAAAGTGTAGTAAGTGGAGTTAGCATATCGAATCATATTTGGCCAATAAATCATCCAGTTACATTTAAAGTAACTAGTGGAATAATCTGCATGCTGCCTGAACTTCAAAAGATGTGTATTTATGAGAATGGAAGGGCATTTAACATAATGCACACTGGAATAATCCAGTTTTGCCACTCAAGAGGAGACACTGTTCTTACAATGTTCTTTTTCATTTTCTGTAGCATTAACACACCATTACCAAAATGGCCTCAAAGAACAAAGATGGCATCCCCTGAATGCTCAGCCTGGTCTAATTAAAATTGACTCTCACCAATTCGTTTAGTTAATTAATCTATCAATTAGAGCTTGCTAGCCTATTGATCACTCTTGAACATTCCACAAAGGGAAGTCAGTCCATTGCTTGATTGCACCTAATACATGGCTCTTATTTTTCTGGGGATCAGTAGCCAGCCAAAACACCCCCCCTTCCCTGCTCTAGTTTCTGCCTTGCACCCCATCCTCCACCTCCCCACCCGGCTCCTCTCTGGTCTCTTTACTCACCATTTCTAAGACAAAGATGAGCGACCCACAATGTTGTTCTAATAGAAATCCGTCAGCTGGCGCCCCTTGAGCTTGGACTGCTGAGACAATAAATACAGCCCATCCCAGATTAAAAATAAACCCATGCCCACTTTTGGCTGTAATAGGTGAGTTAACCCCCCCCCCTCCAATCTCCTTTCTCCCTTCTTAAATAACAGGGCTCATTGTCATGTGGTGACATGTGAGACAAAGGGGCCCCCAAGGTTCGTGGCATACCAGGCATCCCGACCGACCGTCTGCCTCTCTGTTCAAGATGGGGATGCGCATTCTGCCTGTAGCCAAATAATAGCCAGGCACCTGTGTGTGTCAATTGTCTTCAGCATGTCGGAGCCATGGGGTGTGTACAAGGAGCTGCACCCAGCAAACGTAACGCTGTGTGTGCAGGGTGGACAAACTTGGCTTTCTCTTGGCTCTCATTCCCAGGTTTAAGTTTGGTCTGTCCCAAATGTTGAGGATTTTTGGATAGGTTTTTAAGGGTGTGATCAAATACATGTTTAGATGCGTGTGGGGGCATCCTACAACTCCCAGCCATGCCATGGGCTAGGGATTATGCCCTTGGCTTGCCCCTGGTTACTTGTTGCAAAATGCGTTTGGAGCCTCCAAGTCCAGAAGCAGTGTGTCCCTAAATATAGACAAGCCATGGAAGGCCAGCTCTGTGTTTGATTGCAAGCTTCCAGAGATGTCTGACTATTTCTTGGGGACAAATTTCTGGTTCTGCGACGGCTTCTCTGCTGCCTCCACAGTCCGAAATAGAAAGCCACTGAATGGCAGTTCCAAGCGGAGGACCTTTGGTTCCATCCTTCTAGTGTGTCTGCTCTTAAAGTTCTAGCATGTGAATTCCCAAGCCCTTGCGTAGTTTCTATGAGGAACTGAACCAGCAGATAGGTCTCTGATAAGAACGGACCCTCCAGGTTTAGGGGCAGCATACCTCAGTTTACAAGATGTTTGGGGAAACACCAAAGGGAGCTTTGGGTTTTGGTGGCCCCTCAGGCAGGCAGGACACTCTTAATGCCCACTCTGATCTACTCCCACACGGCCACTGACAGCTGCTGCTGCTGCTCCTCCTCCATTCTTGTCAACTGCTTGCATGCCAGAGACTTCCTCCACTTCCTTCTCACCAGCGCTGTTTCCTTGATCACTCACAGCTCTCAGGCCAGAGGGAGAGGTGAGCGACTGGCAGGATGCCATAGCAAAGAGGTGGAACACCTCCAGGGACCCTTCCGGGGGGGGGGCTTGGAGAAGGTGAGAGCCCCCAGCAAAGAGTCTTGCCATGCTGGCTCTTGTCACTGGCCTTGGGCAGGAGCCAAGCGTCTGCTCAGCCCTGTTGGCAGGCTCCCCAGAGTCACAGAACGAAAGCCACACGGGCAGAAGGATGGGCTGGACTGCAGCCGCAGCCTCGGCCCTTCTTTGTCCTTCTATTTTTAGCTTGTTTGCGCTGTCCCTCAGCATTTCTTCCCCAGGGGTCTGGAGATGCTTGGGCAAAAGGGAAGGGAGGTTCAAAGGGATGCCCTCCACCACACAAAGCAATGCCCTCTGTCTCTTCCCCTTGCTAACAGCTGCTTAGCTGCACGTGATGGAAAGAAGGGAGGTACAAACAGCTGCTGCTTTTGGGAGAGGATTTTTCTCCACTGTCCTCCACGCAGCCCCTCCAACCCCTCATTCCTCAGTATGGTGGTGTTCGGCCCCAAATGTGCTCACTGACACCCAGGCCTGGGGGCTTCATGTCAAGGCGCACCCCTCCGCCAGACGGTCACCTCCTGAACACTCCGAATTTTAAGAAAGAACTTCCTAAGGACACAGCTCCGTCTCTTTCTAGCACAAGTATGTCCCACTAAGTCCAATGGATTTTTACCACCAGGTAAGTATACACAGGGTAGGCGCCAGGCTACTCTTGCCCTTGTGTAAAAGTACCCGGAAATATCCTTGGTTAGTTGTAGGGAATCGCAAGCCTCCTTCGGAAAGAAACTGCTTCAGCACTGTTTTTTGACATACAATATCACACAAATTTCTTGCCACAAATTAGCCAAAGATTCTGTCTTGTAACACAGTAAACAACTTTCAGTATTGCTGTGGTGGCTGAACTTCCTGCAATGAGAATCTCCTCCAGGTGCCCGGCCCAGGCAGGCGCATTCTTAAGGGACTCTTGAAACTGACCAGGCTTATTATTCTCATTGCTTATTTGGATACCCACACCCATGAATAATTAGGGCCTAGGGCAGTGGGATGATGGGAACTGTAGTCAAAGAGAGATGTAAAGCACCAGGTTCAGGAGAACTAATTGATTACTCTTAAGTAGCTTCTTGGTCTAAGAATCGCAAGGTTTTGCTCCCTTCTGTCCATTACAACTGCAAATGTCCCCTCTCGCGTTGTTATTTCGAACTTGAGAGAGAGAGAGAAGGAATGAGCTGACTTAAGAAATGACATTTTGAAAAGTTGTTTCTTCTTGGCCACAAATTGTTTGAGCAAGTCTGTGTGGAGAGAAGGCTTAGCGGCGTTTTGGAATCATTCTCCCAGGGGAGTTTCTCAAAGGCAGGCTGGGTGCTGTTGTGTGCTCGGCTCCCCTTCTGCGAGCACTCGAGAAGAAGAGGAGCACTCAAGATTACTGTATCAGAGCAAACCAAGAACTTGAACTATTGTTTTCAGAACACAATGTTTAACATCCTGATGGTGATTCCTTATTAAAATCCTCTTTTGCCAGGATTCCTCTGTAGCTGGATGCTAATGTGTCGAGGCTTTACGGCCTAGCTAGCTGTTCCAGATATCCTGGGGTGAAGCATGATTTAAGCTTAAACTGGAATGAGAGGAGTGATTTGGTGTGGATCAAAGAGAGGGAAGGGCAGTTCGCTGTTGCTGAGGTGTCTGGTGTCGGCTTGCTGCCAAAGAATGAAGGCAGGAGAAAAGAATTGTTCTTTTTCTTGGAAAAGTCAGGGAAAGGGAAAGGATATGCCATGGACAGAGTCACCTTCCCAGCAAGAGAAACAAGAGCAATCGTGAACAAAAGAGGCACGGAGAGTATGCCGATCATTCTGGGTGGAAGCCAAAACATTTTTAAAAGGATTTAAATAGATGGGAGACTAAGCATGCAAGGCGAGACAGGACGAGAATAAACTCCTGGATGGGCCGTCCATGCCAAGCCGCACACTTGCTCCTGCAGTCTGAGTGAACCGAAAGCCGTGAGCCGGGGAACCTGGGGCCGGTGCCCCGCCTCTGGCTGGCGCGGGTCAGGCTGGTGCAGGCAGGGCAGCACCCGCGGTGGCCTGGCCTCGTCCGCACATGCGCTGCTCTCTGTGGCTTCACTTGCACGATGCCACCTGCTTCTCTGTCTGACCCACAGCGTCTCCTCTCCAGCCTTCCCGCCACTGTGGTTTCCCTCTGCAAATTCTCCAGCTTTCTAATGCCAGCACGTGGGGACCGATGACGACGTGTTCTGTGGGGTGTCCTGGCCCGATTCACAACTCAGGGGGCGGTGCTGCGTATATTTAGGCCAAACACGGCTTACAACGCACAGCCTTCTCCGACCAGCCGTGCTGGGGATTTTGCTTTGCCTAAACAGGTGCAGGATTGTGCCTTGAGAGCAGAGCCCCACGCACGTCTTCTCAGAAGGCTTCCTCCAGGGTCCCGTTGCACAAGAGCAGGGGTGCCACAGGCGTGCGCCCTTCTCCTCTCGGGATCTGCACGGCGCCAGCTTGCTCCCGGCCTGCTGCTTCCCGAAGAGGCCCGCCAGGGAAGCAGTCCTGCCACCCTGCCCGTTGGGCGAAGTCCTCCGGCCGGGACTCGGACCTCTCGGGCGCTGCCTCGCGGCTGCTCTGGCCCCCGGCCTGATTTCCCGCAGTCCCTTTGGACGCGATGGCCCTTGACTTGGCCGCTTGCTGCTTCTGGGGGGCCGTTCGGTTGTCTGCGCGTAG